CCCTCTTTTTATTCTCCCCCCCTCTTTTTATTCCCCCCCCCTCTTCTTACCCCCTCCCCTGTAGCGTGGCCGCGCGGAACAGGAGTTTCTGTTTCCTGTAACCGGCCGGACTGACAGGAAGTGCACACTCAGTGTGCACCTTCCTATCACTCCGGCCGGCCACCGCGGACCGGAGTGCAGCTCGGCCACGCTACAGGGGAGAAGCTGCAGCCGCCTGACCGCTCTTCACAAAGCGCTCAGGCGGCTGCAGTATTTAAAGGGCCGGCCCCAGGTGCCGACGGCCCACTGGGAAATTTCCCGGTATCCCGGTGGGCCAGTCCGGCCCTGGGTGGAGGCCGTGATTGCATGTCAGGAAGCTGGGGTTGGGAGTGGGGGGTAAGGGCAGGGTCCAGGGGGCCCAAGCAACTGCTTGCCCAGGGTCCAAACGATATTAAAGACGGCCCTGCCTTTAACTTTCAAAAACACTATAAAACCTGTACATTGGGGGTACTGTTATACTCTGGAGACTTTACAGGGTTAAATACAGTGCTAGCAAATTCAATTCTCTGGACTTTTGGCCTGGGTTGTCAGGCATGTCCCTCAAATTGCAATCAATAAAATGACATAAATATGCACGTAGAATTTAAATATATATACATATTTATATATTTGAAGTCTGCGTCTATATTTATGAAATTATTTATGTAATTATGTGTATGGATATATATTATTATTGTTATTATTGCCATTTATATAGCGCCAACATATTCCGTAGTGCTTTACAATATTATAGGGGATTTAACTATAAATAGGACAATTACAAGAAAACTTACAGGAATGATAGGTTGAAGAGGACCCTGCTCAAATGAGCTTACAGTCTATAGGAGGTGGGGTATAAAACACATTAGGACAGGAAGTATCAATCAAAAAAGGTGGGAGTTAAGCAGAGCTGGAGGAGGGAGTAAAGTACTACCCTATAGGAGAGAGCAAGAGACGGGTGTGTAAGGTAGAGGTTACTCTGTGAGGCCATAAGCTTTCCTAAAAAGATGGGTTTTAAGGCACTTCTTAAAGGATTGAAGGCTAGGGGAGAGTCTGATGGGGTTAGACAGGCTATTCCATAGGGAGGGAGCCGCCCGCGAGAAGTCCTGCAAGCCGAGTTGGCCGTACGAGTGCGAACAGCGGTCAGGAGGTAGTGACAGGCAGAGCGGAGGGAACGAGGAGGGTTAGCACTTTGAATTGACTCCTATAGGATACAGGAAGCCAATGTAAGAACTGGCAGGGGTGAGGGGTGAGGTGTGAGAGGACTGACTAGAGAGGAAAATCAGTCTGGCGGCGGCATTCATTACTGACTGTAGCGGGGCGATACAGCTTTTGGGAAGACCAATCAGGAGAGGGTTACAATAATCCATGCAGGAAATTACTAGAGCATGGACAAGCTCCTTGGTAGCATCTTTTGTAAGAAAGGGGCAGATGCGACCATGTTTTTAAGTTGGAATCTACAGGATTTGGCAACAAACTGGAGGTGAGGCTCAAAGGTGAGGCCAGAGTCAAGTATGACGCCAAGACAGCATGCTTGCAGGGAGAGCGAGAGAGGAGGATCAGTATTAGGAGGAGGAAAGACAAGGAGTTCAGTTTTAGAGAGATTGAGTTTCAGAAAGCAGGAGGACATCCAGTCAGAGATGGAAGAAAGGCAAGCAGTGACATGTTGCAGGATGGCAGAGGAGAGCTCATGGGGAGGAGAGATATATTTGGGTGTCATCAGCGTACAGGTGGTAGTGGAATCCAAAAGAGGCAAGTTTGCCAAAAGAGGCAGTATAAAGAGAAAATAGAAGGGGACCAAGGACAGAGCCTTGGGGAACTCCAACCGACACAGGACGAGACAAGGAGGTATCCTTGGAAAAAGAGACACTGAATAAGCATTGGGAGAGATAAGAGGAAAACCATGAGAGGACAGAGTGACAGAGACCAAGCAATTGAAGAGTTTGAAGGAGGAGAGCATGATCAACGGTGTCAAAGGTATCAGAGAGGTCAAGAAGAATTAATATGGAGTAGTGGCCTTTGGATTTAGCTGCGATTAGGTCATTAGT